ATTAAAGGTGTGAGCCTCCCACATGTGCTGCAATTAAAGGTGTGAGCCACCACATGTGCTGCAGTTAAAGGTGTGAGCCTCCACATGTGCTGCAGTTAAAGGTGTGAGCCACCACATGTGCTGCAATTAAAGGTGTGAGCTACCATGGCCGGCTCTGTTTCTTTTTTAGACTGTCTCGATCTCATGTAGCCCAGGGTGGCCTTGAACTCCCTGATCTTCCTGCTGCTTCCTCCCTGGGATTAAAGGTGTGTGCCACCACTGCCTGGCCTCTATGATTAACTAGTGGCTAGCCCTGCCCTCTGATCTCCAGGCAAACTTTGTCAGAACACAAACAAAATATACAATAGACTCTTCTGGTATGTGACTAGAGTTGATCTTGAAAGCTGTGGATGGTGCTTAGCTTCAGGACTGTGGGGCGTGAACATTTAGTGATATTCCAAAGGAGGAATCTCGTTCCTTTATCTTCATTCTTACATCACACAGAGGTAGAAGGTCTCCTGGACTTTCTCTTCTCTGGTCTTTGTAATACTGTTCTGGAGCCAGACCTGTTACCAGCCTGCACAACTTTGTTCTTGGCCTTATAGTTGTTTGTGTGGGCATGTGTGTGTCACAGAACAAATGGAGTCAGAGCACAACTTCCAGGAGTTGTTATTCTCCTCCCCACATATGGGTCCTGGGGATTGAACTGAGTTTCTCTGGCTTGGCAGCAAGTGCCTTTACACTGTAAGCATCTCTTTGGTTCATGTCTTGGCTTTACCAGTGTTACTAAGTGGAAAAAGTGGGTATGCTGATCAGAAGGAGTGAGAAGGACATAAATGATGTTTGTTCTGGGGAGGTGACCAAGGGACAGATCTGTTTTATATGCCCTAATCTTGTTCATTTTTAAATGAAATGATAAGGCCAAAGTTCAGGCTAGTCTTGAGGACTGAGGAGGGTAGTCAAGGGAAGTAGCTATATTTTGAGTCTCTTCTAGGGTACCAAGTTGATGAGGAGAAGTTTTGTTTTAGATGGATTCTGTTAAAATAAATGGCATATGAATAGCAACAACAAACTCAGAAAAGCATAACCCCTCATGAAATAAAGGTGTTCTCTACTTTTGATTTTAGAAAATGTTTTACTTTTTATTATGAAGAATTTGGATTTGTGTCAACAGTCAGGGAATTCCTCATATCTCTGTTGCATGGTCTCAGGAGGAAATCTTAGCGATAATTACCTTGTGTCTTTTTAGGTAGAAAAGGTTTATAAAAATGGGTGCCGAGTTATACTGTTTCCCAATGGAACTCGGAAAGAAGTGAGTGCAGGTGGGAAGAGCATCACCGTTACATTTTTTAATGGTGACGTGAAGCAGGTCTTGCCGGATGAGAGAGTGGTACGTATGCTCAGGGTGCTGCTTCTAGCTGCATCATCTCAGGAGAAGGGGCGACTTGACTACATGTCTTTGCAGGTCTACTACTATGCTGCTGCCCAGACCACACACACCACATACCCGGAAGGCCTTGAAGTCTTACATTTCTCAAGTGGACAAATAGGTACAAACTTACTTTGCCTACTCTGTTAAATTCTAACCTTCTTTTAAAAAATATATTGATAACAACCATTTTTAAAACAGAAAAGCATTTCCCAGATGGAAGAAAAGAAATCACATTTCCTGACCAAACCATTAAGAATTTATTTGCTGATGGTCAAGAAGAGAGCATCTTTCCAGATGGCACAATTGTCCGAGTGCAACGGTATGGTGCTGTTAAAACATCTGAAACATTTGGGGCTGGGGATCTGTCTCAGCAGAGAACACCACTTGCTGTGCAGTCAGGAAGATCTGCATGGGAACTTACCACCCTATGAAAGACATGGACACATGTTCCGGGAACCTTAGCATTGGAGATGGGGAAGGGGGAAAGACAGATGGGTTCTGAAAGCTCATTAGTCAGCAAGCCTGGCCCAAATAGCAAGCTTCCAGTTTAGTGAGACCTTGTCTTAAGGGACTAAAGCAGAGTCCTCCTTTTTCTCTGCATGCAAGGTACACGCACCCTCTAGACACAAAACAAAATATACCAGTGACTGGAACTTTCAGTGAGTTGGATGAGAAGTGAACACAGACAGTTTGAGAACAGGTGAGACACATGCTTGCATTGTGCAGTTTAGAAGCAATGTCAGCTTACAGGACTTAGAGGGAGTCTGCAGAGAACTCAGGAGAGGAAGAGAGAGGTAGTAATTTGTTTAGAAGTGTAGTGAACCCTGAAAACAGAATGAGGCACAGAGGGAAAGCTGCCCTTAACTGTGCAGTTGACCCAGCCACTGAATGGCTGTGTCCTGTTTAGCCTTTCCTATCTTGCTTGTATTTTTAATTTCTGAACCTCGCTGCCCATTCTATTACAGTTTACTCTCTTAACATATTTGATCCAAACCTTTCAAAGCCAACAGACTCTTCACTTGCCCTCTTGAATATTGTATTTCTGAAAGTTAGCTCTATGTGGTCTGCTTTTTTAAAGCAGAGTCTTGTAGCTTAGGCTGGCCTCGAACTTCTGATCTTCCTGACTCCACTTCCCACATGCTGAGATTATAGGTGTGCACTATAATCAACCTGATAAAATAGAGCTTCTTATTTTAATCGCAGCCCTGGTGAAGCTCTGCCACATCCGATTTTGAGTTTTCCACTCTTGACTTAGGATGTGAAAACATTTAACACACCAACCAATATGAAGCCTACAATACTAATGGGCCAAGAAAGCTAAAACTGACTCAGGTGGTACAGTGACTTCTTATAGTCATTGCAGTGTCCCCTTAGTGTAGAAATCTGATACACATGCAAATAAATAGTTTAAAAGAAATTATAAATCTACTATACACTGAGTAACATTAGAACAAATTTAACCTTTTTTTTTTACTCATTTGAAATTTTGTATAAGTAGAAAAATAAAAAGTATTTACCTATGCATCTAGCTTCAACATAGATTAATTCATAGCCAGTCTTGTTTTCAGAGGCAAATCCCAGGTATTATCTTAGTTAAGAGCAGTGGTTCTGAAAATGGAGCGTGCCACTGAATCACCTGGGTGGTAAAGTGCAGCTGTGCTGGGGAGGGGGTCCCCAGGAGAAACATCGACTCTTGGAGTGGATGTTTGTGTGCACAGGACCGTTCTGCTGGCAACACCTGCCCATCTATGTTTCGAATTCCTTGTTTCCAGGCTTCTATTGGTCATGGCACTTTGAACCTAAGCCTGGAAATTCATTGTGAATGTCACATCAACATGCCAAACATGTCTTTGTGTTAATTTTTTCATGTTTTGACAGTTTGTTTTGTTGTTCAAAGTACTTAGGTGGCCTTCAATTTAGTGAAAAAAAAAAAAAAAAAAAAAAAAGAGAAGCCATCCCAACCTTCCCCCAAGGAACCTGAAGAGCTAAATTTTAACACAATGACCAGCTTTGAGTTGGGCATGGTGGCATACACAAACCTTTAGTCCTAGAACTAAGGATGTAGGTGGATTGCAGGGCATTTGAGGACAGCCTGCTTTGCATAGTGAGCTGCAGACTAAGTAGGGCTACATAAAGAGACTCTGTCCAAAAAAAAAAAAAAAAAGAAAGAATGAAAATCTTTTTAGAGGCTGAACACATCTAAAATTTAAAAAAGCTAAACACTTCATAGTAAAAATATAAACAAATTCATTAAGAGGAACTTTCATGGTCACATGTAAAGGCTAATTTGGTAGCTGGAACTGAAATGAAATACTGCAGACAGAACTTGTAATTGTATTGGGAAGAGGACCAAGGAGTGTGTTTAGGAGGAGAAATAATTGCCAGAATCAAAAGGCCACATTTAGCTTGCCTTCCAGTTGTGTGTTTCTTTTCTTTTTACTCTCCCATAGTACTGAGGATTGAACAAAGGTCTCATGCACACCAGGCAAGTCTTTTTCCACTGAACTACCTCCAGCTCTCTGTCCTATTTCAGGGCAGTGAGGCAGGCTTTTGCCTCTGTAGCCCAGGCTGGTCTTGACCTCCCAGTCCTCCTACCCTCAGCCTCCTGAGGGCTGGTATTACAGTCGTGTACCCACCACCATGCCTAGTTCTGTTGATCGAGTTTTTAAGAAATATTCTGGTTTAAATTTTACAGTGATGGCAACAAAATCATAGAGTTTAACAATGGCCAAAGAGAGCTCCATACTGCCCAGTTCAAGAGACGAGAATATCCAGACGGGACTGTTAAAACTGTCTATGCAAATGGTCATCAAGAGACAAAGTACACATCTGGCCGAGTTAGAGTGAAGGACAAAGATGGTAATGTTCTAATGGACACAGAATTGTAAAGATCTTCGTGGGATTAATCATGAACTAACACTAAGTGGTTTTTCTGTTCAGAGTATGTACGTTTCTTGTGTGTTCAGTTGTTTAATTTATATAGTGTGTGTGTGTGTGTGTGTGTGTGTGTGTGTGTGTGTGTGTCTAAATGTAAAAGATTATGTTTGACTTTTAAAATTAAAGTTTTACAACACAGTTTCTTCCGTTTTACATTCTTTGAAATAAAAGCAGCTTCTCTAGTATATGTGTCTTTCTACAATTAGGAAGAAAAATCATTATTACTTTGTTATAAACTGTGTACGTTTTTTTTTTTTTTTTTTTTTTTTTAAACATCTTTGCTTTTTTCTTGTTTTTTGGAGACTGGGCCCCACTATGTAGCCTTGGCTAGCCTGGAACTCACTCTGTAGGTGAGGCTAGCATTGAATTCATAGAGGTCCACCTGTCTCTGTGTCCCCAGTGCTGGGATTAAAGCTGTGTGCTACCACACATTGGCTTGTGCAGGTTTTTACAGTAAGAAGTAAAAGAAGTGTATCAGATACTTGTTCCACAGGCACATCAGCCACAGGATGTGGACTTCCCAGAAAGTGAGTGTCAGAATATCATGCAGCCAATACTAAATGAAAACTATCGTTTACTACAAAGACTCAGGAACTGAGATGAACACAAACAGGCCGAAACACATTACAAGTCGTAAGGAGTCTTAGGAGAAAGCAGTTACAGTCAAGGTGCAGCGTAACTTGTCAAGAACAGAAGTAGCCGGTGTGGACACGTCCCAGCCTTCATGTTGCTGCCCAGAGGTGGCAGGCAGCACAAGCAAGCTATACTCCAAGAAGGGCGAACTTACAACCACGACAGTACACTGACTATTACTCATTAACATATCAGTTCCAGGTGATTCAAGAACAGAATGTGGCCAGCCAGGAGGTGGTGCTGCACACCTTTAATCCCAGCGTTTGAGAGGCAGAGGCAGGCGGATCTCTGTGAGTTCGAGGCCTGCCTGGTCTACAAAGCCAGTTCCAGGGCAGCCAGGGCTGTTAACACAGAGAAACCCTGTCTTGAAAAACCAGAAATAAAGAAAGAAACAACGGGAAAAACAATAACATATATATATTACTTTAGGCTGTGGAAGAAATTTTAAGTAGGACATAAACTTCAAAGGAAAAGGTGTCAACTGCCATCTTCAGGAATGTGTAACTACTTTTTCAGAAGTAACCCCCTGACCCAGCAAATCCCACTACTATGCAAATATAGGGAAAACCTCTTATGTGTCAGGGCCTAGAAGAGAATGCAGCTGAGAAGAACAGCAAAGCCCAGTAGCCACCTGAGCACCCAACAGTAAGACCATGACTCGGATGGGCAGTGAGGTTAGTGCAGTAGAGGGGCCACCAACACAGCAGAGTCACAGTGGAAATGGTGCCTGGGTTTCACAGTGCTCACTCTTACAGACTCCTGCAGCTGAATCACAAAGACTTATGTAACTATAGCTCAATCACACTCACCTCTGTAAGGGAGCTGGGGTTGATGGGTGAGACAGTGCAGGACCATCAACAGTTCTGATATTTCTTAAGTAAAACCTTAATTAATAACATGAAAAATTTCTATGTGCCTAAATTTTATTTTGAAATTATAGTAAAAACAAAATTGTTTCAAAGAAAACATTCTTTAACAATTTAACAAGTAAGACTAAAGGAGGAAAAATGATGCCACTGCAGAGCAAGTTCAAGTCAAACCTGAAATGGCACAAATCTAACTGAAAACTTTCTTCTGGGCAGCTACAGATGCTCTTGCACACCTGAAAAACAGAAAATGTTCCTGTAAGACTTGCCTTTATGCTTTATTCAAGTCTAGCTGAACCACTGTATGCCTGCTACTTGGTGATGAGCATAAGTTACTGGTGCCTACTGTCCTGTTTGACTTGCCCCATTCCCATCAGTACTAGGGCAGCCATGACAGCCATTCCGGACCACACTTACAAATACAAGGGGTCATTCATAATGGTGTTCAAGAGGCAGAAAGGCCTAGGGTGACAAAATCTGGAGAAGAGTTCTTGTAGAACGCCATCTTTTGAGAAATTAGAATATCTGAGATGCTTTCATAAGCAATTTAGCATTAATCTCTGCCATTGCGGTCATGTGTAGATACACACGTGCTGACTAAATAGGTGACCAAGTATGTCCACTTACATCATTCATCTTTATCTGCAAGCCCCATTTCTACCAAGGACATATGAACTGGGTATTGTTCATCTTCATATAATGTCACTATTTGTTCTGGTGCTTGGGCCTAAAATTAAAAGACAGAGTTATCAGCTGGGCAATGGTGGCGCACACCTTTAACCCCAGCACTTGGGAGGCAGAGGCAGGGGGATCTCTGAGTTTGAGGGCAGCCTGGTCTACAGAGAGAGTTCCAGGACAGCCAAGGGTACACAGAGAAAATCTGTCTCAAAAACAAGCAAACAATAACAAAATACAGCCATCAAAAAAGTACACCTGTAATCCTAACACTCAGAAGGCAGAAAGAAGCAGGAAGATCACAAAAAACCAATACCAGCAAATAAAACACAATACTGTCTTGGCTGCCCTTGCCTTCCTCCATGGCTTTGACTAGGGAGAAAGGCGCCTAAGACTAATTTATACTCTACCTTTAGAGGGCATCTTTGATAGTTTCCTGCTAAATCCCTATTCCTTCCACTTTCCTCCTCTATTAAAGCTAATGAAACTTCAAGTCTCTTCTGCCTAGGTAGAGTCAATGGTCTTTCGTAACATTGTACCTGTTAAAGTACCTTTACATTTGACACACCACACACTATATCTGCTATGCATAAACTAAAATTTGGCTGTTAGTCATAGAGGTGAAGAAATCAGTATTTGTAATAAGTACTTAGCCTGTCTGTATTTTCACTGACTTCTTCAGAAACACCCTGTCTAGACTATGTATAGCAAGCATGAAATATAACAGGAGTTTTCCAAAAGCATTTTCTAGTAATAGCTTTGTCTTGTCATAAACTCATTCTTGTGGAAGGCAGTGTGCATGATTCTTTGTCCTAGGACCTGGCAGAGAACACGAAGGAGGGAAGCAGGTGGACCTGAACCAGTCATAAAGACCAAGGATAACCCAAAAGGTACCTTCTACATCACCATGCCAGCTCAGGGCTGTGTCAAGAAGATCTGGGAGTCCTGGGTTCTATAATACTAAGCCAGAACCCAGAAATAGATTGTGTGTGTGTGTGTGTGTGTGTGTGTGTGTGTGTGTGTGTGTGTGTGTAAAAACTTTCCAGTTTTAGAATACTATGCAAAACAACTTGCTTGCCTGTTGGATATTAACAAGGTTCCTGCTTGCCTGTGGGATACTACTGTGTGGTATGCTAAGCTTAAAAAGAAAGGTCTGCTACTTTAGATACCATCTGGAGATATTTTTGTTTTTGTTTTTTAATCTTTTAAACTAATCTATCTTTAAGTGTATGAGTACTTTGCCATCCTGTATCTAAGTTCACAGTGTGTATGCAGTTTCACCAAGCTTGAAGAGGGCATCTGGCAGGAACGGGGGTAGCTGTGAGCCATGGGGAACCCAACCTGAGTCCCTCTGCAAGAGCAGCCAGTGTGGGCTCCTAACCGGAGCCCCGTCTCCAGCCCCCTAACCTCGAGTTTTGATACAGGTCTAGACACCTTACAGTCCCAGCCCCTCTGACCATAGCTCTCTTCAGCTTTCAGGATGCAGCTTGTCTGTCACTTTCTGGGCACACTTTCTTAGTGAGTTACTTGAGTGCCTACTAAGAAGTTTCTTAAACATCTTTCCGGGTCTCTTCAGATGAAATAATCATTTCTTACATTTCTCCCCAGCCTACAAAGTTACCTATATTTCTACTGTACTTGGATTCTATCTCTGATTAATGCTATGCGTGTCTGTTTTTCATTAACTTGAAAGTTCTTTAATTATAGGATATGCATCTTTATTATTTTATATTATTCGTTATGTATCACTTTAGGATAATATAGTTTTTTAAAACTAACTTTTTCTTTGGTAGGTGTAGCAGGGCCCAGGGTGATGACCTTGAACTTCTGACCCACCTGCTTGCATAGCCTGAATGGTGGATTACAGGTGTACATCACCACACTTGCTTTACCAGGATTTTGTGCATGTGAGGCAAGTGCTCTACTGAGTTCCATCCCAAGCCCCCAATAAAAACATTTAACTAGCCTTAAGACTTAACTTCTATAGTCTATTGTAGCTTTATAGGCTGTAACTATTATTTTTAAGCATAAGCAAAACACTTTACAAAGTTAGTAGGTCTTATGGAAATAGCTTTAAAATAATTTGGCTAGTTAAAATAGGTAATTACCACAGAGGAAGCATAAAGTTGTTTTCCTTGGAGACAGTCTATCATAGTCCATAATGCTTCCATGCTCCACTTGGGACAGTATGGTATTCTTGCCTTTCCCGAGTCGCTTAAGGGCGGTTTAAACCCTGCCAAGAGAACCTTTATGGCTTGGGCTGGATACTGCATAAGCTGAACAGGAATCTGACGTAGTCTGTTGGAAAAGAGATTGATAAAATGATCACAATGCCACAATTCAAATCTCATATTTTAAACTATATCACGCTCAGTAGGAAACAAGAGAACTAAGTTTCAGGACACTGGAATTTGCAAAGATGACACCAGGAGCAGTCAAGAAAAGTCAGAAAAACTGAAGCCCGTAGGCATTGTTAGTGATGTAAAATGGTACTGATGCCGGGCGGTGGTGGCGCACGCCTTTAATCCCAGCACTCGGGAGGCAGAGCCAGGCGGATCTCTGTGAGTTCGAGGCCAGCCTGGGCTACCAAGTGAGTTCCAGGAAAGGCGCAAAGCTACACAGAGAAACCCTGTCTCGAAAAACCAAAAAAAAAAAAAAAAAAATTAAAATGGTACTGTTGCTATGGAGAATCATATATGGAAGTTCCTTACATAGTAAAATAGATACAGTACGTGGTCCAGCAATCCCATCTCTGGTATATATTCCAAATTGAAAGTAGAGTCTCAACAAGGTACCTATATACTCATGTTCATTACAGCCTCGTCACAATAAATAGGAAGAGGTAAAAGCAGCCAGTGTCACCCCATGAAGGATGTTTAAAGTTGAGACAGATACACAGAGCAGCCTTAGGAAGCAAACTGTGGCATATGCCACACGATGAACCTTGAAGAATAGAACCAGAAGGGA